GGCACTCTACCCAGGGGGACAGCTTGAGGCTCTGTCTCAAAAAAAAAAAAAAAAATTACAGTCTTACCAATAAAGATCAATTCAAAACTCCCAAACAAAATACAGCTGTCCCTCCATAAAGTGGGTTCTGCATCCACGGATTCAATCAGCCATGGATTGAAAATATTTGGAAAAAAAAAAACTTCCTATACTTAACACATACAGACTTTTATTCTTGTTATTTCCTAAACAAAACAATATAATGGCTATTTGCATAGTATCTACATTGTTTCAGGAATTACAAGTAATCTAGAGATGATTTAAAACATACGGGAGTATGTGCATGGCTTATATGCAAATACTATGCCATTTTATGGATTTTGGTATCCCAGGAGGTCCTGGAACCAATTCCTCATGGATCCTGAGGCACAACTATAGTAGGAAACGGTCCTATGAATATATTAAACACATACACAAACACATGTACAGGAACACACTGCATCACCAAGTTGTTTATCCCTGGAATAAACAAAAGGTTGGGTTATGAAATTAAATGTAACTTACCCTATTAAAAGATGAAAGGAGATGCAAAAAAAATCCATTTGATAGCAAAAGTTTAAAACTTGAAGAACCACAAACAGGTGGGAACTACCTTAACCTAATTAAAAATCTATATAGAAACCTGCAACTAACATACGGAATGGTGAAAACTTTTCTTTTAGATCAGGAACAAGAAAATTATACCCTCCTTAATTATTCTTGTTCAACATAATACTAGAGGCCCTAATTATCACTGTAAGATAAGAAACAGGATATAAAGGTAAATTGTTAGAATAACTTTGGTAAAGTTCTCATGTAAAATTAATATATGAAAGTCAACTACATTCCTGTGTAATACCAAATAAAAGATATAATTTTGGAAGATACCATTAACACTTAACAGTACCAGATACTAAGGGATAAGTTAAAACAAAATACAAGTTCTACAAAGAAAATTTAAATACTGTTAAGAAGACATTTAAAAATGCTAAGGAAGAGTAGGACGCAGTGGCTCACACCTGTAATCCTAGCACTTTGGAAGGCTGAGGGGTAGATTGCCTGAGTTCACAGGTTTGAGACCAGCCTGAGCAAGAGTTCGAGCCCGTCCCTAAAAATAGCTGGGCACTGTGGTGGATGCCTGTAGTCTCAGCTACTCAGGAGGCTGAGGGAAGAGAATAGCTTCAGCCCGAGTTTGAGGCTGTGTGAACTATGAAGCCATGGCACTCTACCAAGGGTGACAAAGTGAGGCTCTGTGTCAAAAAACCCCCACCAAAAACAGTTGTAAGTAAATGTGGAAATACACCATATTCATGGATTGATGTCAATAAAGCTGTCAGTTCTCCTCCATTTGACCTCCTAATTCAGGCAATTTATTTATTCTGGGGATAGGAGTGACAAATTGATTCAAAAATTTAGAATTCATATTAAAAAGGGCCAAAATTATGGTATATGTACACCATGGAATACTATGCAGCCATAAAGAAAGATGAAGACTTTACCTCCTTCATGTTTACATGGATGGAGCTGGAAAATGTTCTTCTTAGCAAAGTATCTCAAGAATGGAAGAAAAAGTATCCAAGTACTCAGCCCTACTATGAAACTAATTTATAGCTTTCATGGGAAAGCTATAACCCAATTTTAGCCCAGGAATATGGGGAAAAAGGAGAGGGAGGGCATGAGAGGGTGACTGGTGGGATCATGCCTATGGTCCATCCTGTAAGAGTACGTGGAAATCTCTCTAGATGTAGAATATAAACGTCTTAACACTATAATGTTAAGTTAAAATGACATGAGGGCTATGTTAACCAGTTGGATGAGAGTATTTCAAATTGTATATAGAAACAACACACTGTACCCCATGATAGTATTAATGTACACAGCTATGATTTAATAAAAAAAAATAAAAAATAAAAAGGGCCAAAAATAGTCCTTGAACAAAACAGGGTGAAAGGAATTGCTCTATCAGACAGCTAATTAAGACACCGTGATATTGGCTCAAGGACAGATGAACAGCAACGTACGAGAACAAAGGTCCCAGAAACAGACGCACACACACGGGGCACTGAATTGATAACAGTGATATGCTGCAAGGCAGTGAAGAAAGCACAGTTTTAAAATAAGTGGATATCCAAATGGGGGAAGAAAACCTACTTATATTCAATATATGGTGCCGAGATAATTACCAGTTATCAGTATGGACAAGTACCAAACTGATCCCTATGCTGAACCATACACACAAATCATCTGAAAGTGGTTTCTCTAAAAAGGAAAGGTTACTTTTTTTTTTTTTGTCTCTCCTCTTTTTGCTTAACCTATATTGAATCACTGGTCACAAAGAAAAAGAGTCATTTAACTACATTAAGTTGAACTTCTGTTTATAGGGGAAAAAAAGTCCCAAATTCACAGAAGATATTTACGATACATATAAATGATAAAGCATTATATGTATGTTATATATATGTCATATAATATATGACATATATATATATATATATATATAATAAAAACATATAAATACCCTTAGAGATCTGTAAGGAAAAGAATTCCCCAAGAAAGTGGCAAAAGACT